ACCCCAGATTGTAGTATCACCATTTTATTTTGTTTTATAAAACACTTGCTTGCACCAATATGTGTGCATGTCATTGATATTGGGACGAGCAATGGCACAATAGCTGAAAGTCTAGTTGTGTTACTGTATAAACATAAGATAAGGTATGATGTGCTTATAGGTATTGACAACTAAGGACTATTCCAGGGTGATTTGTGAGGGAAAATATATTAGACTAACATGTAAATGAACCTGCAGTGTCGACTCTTATCAACCTCATCAACCAAAGTGTTGATATACTGTAACATTAACAGAGGTGTGGACATTCCAGGGGAGTCGGGAATTGGGGTAACCCGTCCACCCCAACATCGACAGAACGCCCCCCCCCCCACTTCCCAGTAAATAAATGAATAATCAACACCATGTTCCTTATCTTTCATTATGAATCTGCACATTACTGAGGCCGATTCACTGCGCATTCAGAGCGCAAGGACAAAAACTAACAAAGACTGCAGTCATGTAACAGACAAAATCATTTTATCATATGTATCAGGTATTTTTTAGTTAACTGATGATGATTATGCAACTGTACCCTTAACGATGTTAGTCTTATTTTAAATGAGCAATTTGAGCCCACGACAGAGACAAGAGCCCAGCTAAGAGAGGCCCGTACCAACCTTCCGAAAGAATATCTTATGGAAGATATACTTTAACTAAAAATGTTTCAGGAAACACGTTAGAGCGTTAAGAGACAACTTAAGGTAGAACTTAGATAGGATGTACCATTAAGGTTTTGGGAAAGCAGACTGTGAGCTATAGAATATACAGACTTTTAAATATGCGGATAATGACATAATTTTATTACATATGCTATCCATTCATATACCGTCAAAGTTCAGAAACGTGTTTGACGCACAAACATTATCACCAACGCTCTTTTGTACACTCATAAATACGGACAACTCACGGATATTGTCAGCCCAAAGATAGGAAATCTCACAGATACATGCATGCTCACTGAAACGGCACCAACAAAGCTGTGATTTTTGATGTGCTGTGGATTTTCAAATTTAAGCGGCAAGGTTTTTGCACCTCGAAGGGATTTTTGGGAATTTCGGGCAATTCACGCCAGCCTTTCCATTTGACACTGTCATTCTTACGAAAATCCATGAAGTTTTAAAAGGGGGTTGAAGCAGATTTTAACGTGAACGCATTTCACTTCAGTGGGCTTCCTTCCTTTCTGTGCATAATGAACGGTTAGTTATTTGATAAACTCATCCATCCAAGTTTTTTTTTTTTTTTTTTTTTTTTTTACCTTGCTATTTAAATAACCAACAAATCATGGGTGTAAAGCGGGCCCTTAACCTCGGAACTCGGAGACACCGGGTCACACTGCCAGCTCTCCATACAGGGCGCCCTTTTCAGAGCTTATAACAGATCGCTGTGTGTACCCAGGGCAGCAGCCGACATGGTGGTTAAGGACGCGGACTTGGTCTCAGGAGACCGGCCCTTGTACCCTGCAAAGTGTTGTTGACCTGAATTTCCTCAGTATTATGTCGAGCTGTACATGCATAAAAGTGTAAGTCTCCTTTATCTACCACCGGTTAGGGGTGCAGGAGATATTTTTGAAGTGTGTCTGTGTGTGTGTGTGTGTGTGTGTGTGGGGGGGGGGGGGGGGGGTGACCAAACAGTGAGCTTAAGGTCTCATCTATTAAGCTTATCCTGCTTGCTTGATATTTGGCATGATTTTGGCTAATGGTTTACTAAACTAAATATTTTGTTTGTCACTGGCTGACATACATTGTTGTATGGTATGGAGTTGCCAATCACCCACAAAAGGCCTACTGAACAATACTGATCCCTAATGTACTTTAATGTTACGTTTTATGTGACGATACATTAATAAATTTATTGTTTTGTCACTTTAGGTCAAACTTAGAAATAATCGGTAGCTTTGTTGCAGTAACATAAATTAGCCTGAGATATTGGAAAATTATGTTGATAGTTGCATCAACATAGGATTGGTATAGATTAAGCCCATAGAATTTACGTCCACTAACATTCCTTGGTATTTCAAAGAACGCTGTGATAGAGCTGTTTTCTGGATTGCATACAGCTTTGGTCAGTGAGAACAAAACTGCATCCGTCACAACTTAGCCAGGTTCAGTTTTCAACCAAAAACCCGCAACGGCGGAATACAAACAGGATGAACAAATGCAGTAAATATGCAGACCACGTTTTTGAATAAAATGTTTTAGAAAGTGACATCACTGTTTGAGCTATTTGTCCTTTGTTAAATCTGTAGGTTATTGTAGAAGCGGGAGATTTTAAAGCTATGTGTAGGCTGACAGGAATGCGTGTAGGCTACTTTACTGAGTTTACGATGTCTACATATAAACAGAGATAAGGGGAGACAGTATAGGAACGCGCGCGCACGTGTGGACCCCGACCTGCAGCAACCACAAGCTCGACACAGTTCGATAAGTTCAAACATATAGATATCCAGTACTATTTAGGGATGATACTTCTTATAGTTTTTCCCATAAAAGTGGAGGGAACGGATCAGGGTAGCTGTATATCTAGGGGGGATGTGTCTCCCCCCCGCCATCTGCGTCCCTACTTCGTTGTTCACTGTGCTGCTGTCTAATTATTGCAACAGAATATCTGAATAAATGCTATTTAGAACAGACGCGTATCGTCATCTATCTACCAACCGCTTATGCTGATGTGGCGGGCATATATCATTAAATATAATAATTTAATTATAATTAATTGCTTTCCTCTATAAATAGTCGAATGTATATATTCCATCGACATTTTAAAATATATTTATGATTATTTTCTAATTACTCGGTGTGTATAATGTCATAATATAACAACATGAACTTACCTGATTTCCCATAATATGAAGCAGTTTCTTCATGGAAATTAGGCCAAAACTTTTTACGGTGATAATTACGCATATTGTCCAAGGTGGGGACAGTAGCCTATCAGTCATTTCCCCATCTCACATGACAGATACTTAACTATAGGATATGTACGTAGTCAAAACACCCGTATGATCGGGGTTCACCCTGTCACGTTTCCGACAGATGCGGTCATATGTGATACTAAGGGGATTGGTGTCAGAAATGGCGTATTTTCGGAGCTCTGTTATAATCAATTTTAGTAATAATTGAGGAATAAAAGTAGCCTATTTATTTGATGGCAATCATTTCACCGAAGCCTCTGTTTAGACAATAACATGTAGATGCATTCACACAGCCCTACCTAACAGGAAATATGCAAGGTATCGGTTATGTTTTATTTATTCCAGCTGTACGCTCGTTTTAAAATCCGTGAAAACGGTATAAATCAAAACAGATCTCATGATGAACGGTGTTACCTGGTTGCAAAGTAAAGAACTGCTCAAGGTGCGATGGCTTCCATAACATCACTTACGTTAAGTAAATGTCCACCTTAACCTCGCGAGTCTGTTTGGTTTTCCATTTCATTGTCACCAAAAACGTACATAATCATCAGATATTTATAGTTGCAATTTTGTGTCCTTTTTAAATTAAATTAATTAACATTTTAGTACGTTTATATCAAATATAGGCTAATACTAGGCTATAATACTGAATAAGTTTTCAAAAATATAGGTGTTTCTGTTGTTAAAAATGTACAGTTTAAAACAGATATATAGGCCTAGATATTAACGTTGTTCGCAAGGTATGCGAAACGAGATTAAAGAAGTGTACAAGAAAATATTTGAATTATAAAAATCTAAATTTTTTAAAATCTAAACATTTTTTTAAATAGTTTTATTCTGACATAATGCCTTTCAATAGATAAATAATGCCAGTTACAGCATCGATAGTAAAGATTTACGTGTAACTGAAAGTGAGTTTTGTGACGCGTCTAATGCCTCCCACGGACACCGAGAACGCAGTCATGAATAGATTTTATCTGGGATGGAGTTTGGTGCGGCCGTTTGCACCCAAAAGTCAGTGGTACGCGATGAGAGCTATAAGTAAACTCGGACGCGTTGTTTCATTTCAAGTTTAAATATTCTTACATTGATTTGAAAGCGTTGTTTAAAAGCACGCACGAGCGATTTCCTCTAAAGACGTAAAGGCAATTGCTTAAAGTTTTCGTTTTCTTTTTTTTTTGCGCAATTAGTACACTTTTGGAACAATGTTACTCCATCCTTACCAAAACAATGCTTATTAAGAAATGTCTGAAATATAAACGTTATGAATAATTCCATTCATTTGTTTGCCGACATCACAGTGCGGAAATTTGTAAGTCAGGGTGATTAATTTATGTGCTCCTCAAGAATTTCCTCATACATGCCTGTTGATTGCAGCCATTAGAGTTTGTTTTTACTCTTTCACATGATATTTAAAAACATACTACTTTTAGCATAAAACAAACAAATTAGTTATATGTAATTTACACTTGTGAAACTCATTAAAATTAATAAGAAATTAAGTGTACTTGGATACTGCTTGACACACATAATAGATGTATAAGGTGCCTGATAAAATTACAGGTCTTTCGATTTAAAATAATTCTGGATCAAATGTATACACATCTCGGTAGAAATAAACAAATGTGTACGAAAGGCCTCCATCTCAATACTAGGCCTAAATAGATTAAAATGTTTCCTGAGAATAACTGCCTACGTCCATGTCAATGAAACAATATATTTTGAGAAATATATGAGAATGAATCCATTTTATTCTGATTGGTGGTTTTGGCACGTGACTTGATATTCAACGTTCAGCTGCCGCCCATTATGGGTATTATATCAAATTAATACAACAGTACTGAAATGTATGTTCCTGTCGTCCGCTACAAATGCATGGAAAGAGAAAACAGCCCCGTGTTTCACCCTGTGCCAGCGAGATTTAAGGACTTGTGATTAATTACACTGGAGTGAAAGCGCTGTCAGCTCTCCGTGTTCGAGCTAAATTGGGGGCTCCAGAGATTTGCGCCCTCAGTCAGGTGAGATCGCGCGCGGACGCGCACCTTCTCCTCCACGCCGCGTTAGCAGGCTTATAAAACAACCCGCAGCTGGGCAACTCCGGTCCGCATATCGCCGGTGGTCTCCGAAGCGAGAGGGAGGGGAGCTAAATCCACGGGATAAATGCAGCTCAATGAAAGATCCGAGAGGCTTCGTGGTGGTAAGATCTTTATCTGGCTCTTTTAGAAGAAATACCCAAGATATCACCGAGGCGATCTATATTTCATATTTTACCACATGAAATACAATTAGGACTCAAACCTCAAAGTATAGCCTATACCCATGCTGTTTGTGACTTTTTGAATTGTTGTTGAATAGCAACCATACACCGATTTTCAGATTAAAAAACTATTAAATACATTATTTGTAAAAGTTCTGTCCAAAAATGGTGATCACAATAATGCTTTGAATCCGAATTTTTTAAGCTGGAAATTCGAAGAGCACTTTATGTTCTGTTTTGTTGTCATGCCAGTTATTTTGCATACTATGAAATTAGAAAGATCTCACGTATTTCTGTTTGCAGGACTGTCGTCTAAAAGACCACGACCAGGTTTATAATGGAATTAATATTGCCCTGATTTTATTTATTTGTTTGTTTGTTTATTTCAAATAACGAAATTATTCTGAATGATCAGATACAGTCTTTGACTGTCGTTTAAGTTTAATGTCTGTTCTCTGTCAGGGTCATAATTACTCTGTATGGTTGAAAGTCTATGGCGAGTGAGAACAAGCCCGCGTCGGTAATGGATGACAGCCCCACGCCCAGCCCGAGCTGCAGTCCCGGCTCTGAAATACCATCTCCGGACAGGCGTCGCAGCGAGACGCTGACGCGGCCCAGGCTGGTCCCGACCGTCGGCCTCACCGGCAGAGGCCGCCCAGCCGCCGCCAACGCGGCTAGGGAGCGAAGCCGGGTGCAGACCTTGCGGCACGCCTTCCTGGAGCTGCAGCGGACTTTGCCGTCAGTACCACCAGACACCAAGCTGTCCAAACTCGATCTGCTGATACTGGCCACCACGTACATCGCGCACCTGACCAAAACCTTACAAGAAGAGGGGATGGAGGAAGGAGAGAGCACGAGGCAAAGCGAGGTCTTACACTCCCTAAAGGGCGAGGGCTATCTGCACCCAGTCAAAGTAAGTGTAAGCTTTCACCGGCGTCATAACCTCAATCCTTCCACTTCTTCTTGGAGTACCAGGTCCGACTCGTATGAAAAAGCAGGAACCATGTAAGGCTTCTCAAATGGGCATTATTTTAACTATTTAAGGTGAGAGAAAATCTTCATATAGATGTTGAAGGCGATCGAGTACTGCGCCTACCATGCATTTAAATCTTATTTAAACATAGAAAATCTGTGATTGATGACCAATACAATTAGGCCTAATTTAGTTCTAAAATTACATAATTAAATATGATGCATATATGCTAAGCAGGAATATTGCGTGGACTAAAAATGTGAAAATAAATTTTATGCAACAATGATCCTAAGTTTCCAAATAAAAGCACGATTAACACCATTAATAAATAACATCTGTCGTATTTTTTTTAGAAGTACACAAATTTTATGTCCAGACAAGTCGTGTCCAGTCACAGTTGTCTAATATGTAAATAATACACAGTTGAAAATGCATTTACTTTCATGATTTTATCAATTGTATATGTATTTTTCCCTAGAAATGGCCAATGCGATCCAGGCTTTACGTTGGGGCAACCGGACAATTTCTGAATAGCTCAGGGCAAACCGAAAACTCAAACCAAAGCAAATCATCTAACTCTCAGACATAACTTTGCCGAATTTCCCTTCGATGGTCCGTGAAAAGAAGGACAGGACGTGGAGACGGACACGGAAAGCGCCTTTGACAGCCGCCTGCAGTCCGACTTCGGACCCCGTCGTTTCTGCCTACTTCTTGTAGCTACCTTATTTTTCAATAACTTATGTATAAAATATATACGTGTCATGTCTTCTAAAGGAATTCTTTGTAAATTTATGACGCAGCACAATTCATGTGAAAATCCGCACTATAGGTTATTTGAGTTTAAAGTAATGATGGCGGAGTGAAACAGAAATATGTATGTTGGCATGAAAAATAAAGTGTACATGTATGTCTTCTGCCGTAAAGCTGATCGTGTTAGGTTTTGTTCGTTCTAGGTGTTCCCCAAAGAGTGCTTTGAGAAATTTCTCTGCAGCTGGAAACGGGCTGTCACGCTTAATTTTTCAGCGATGCACTTTCGGTTAAAATGTTTGCACTAAACGCATGTGTGTAACTTAACATTTGTCTTGCGAAGTGGTCAGTTCCAGCAGCAGTGACAGAGGTCTCTTCGTTGTGTGGCTCTCGGCGTGCGAATAGCTGTATAAACAGCCAATGCATCCACAGACAATGCGCGCAAAAATAAACGAAGCAAAACTTGCGTGCTATTTGAAAGGAAAAATCGAAAACAGACTCAAGCTCCATAACCGAAAATAAAATTCTTCTTGATGTATTTTTCTATAGTGGTATTCTAGTGTATTCAAATGGTAGGGGTTGGCAAACGAAAAATACTTTATATGTTTGAAATTAGTGCACATTTAACTTAATTGTATGTGAAGACACGAATTTTTGTTATTCAGAGTCGTATGCTACCATAGAGGTTTTGTAAATAAAAAGAAGCAAATAATTTCTTGGAAATTTAATTACGTGAATAAAGCACAGATTTCAGTTAGGCCGTGCATGATATTTACCTTGCGCCATTGTCGTTCTTGTATAAAATCAGCTTTGAATGTTTTGCACAGTCAAGCTTATATCCACTGAATATGCGGCAAACACCTTTAGAAATGTGTGCAATTACTGATATCTAACCCTAACCCTAACCCTAACCCTTAGGGTCTGATTGACATAATTGAATACACTGTGAACAGTTTACACCAACCGAAATTATAATCAACAGGTGCAAAGAATTTTTCTATTAGTTCGTGCAAAGATCATAAACTCACGGGGCAGCCAACTCACGCGTCTGCGGTGACACTCACGCTTTCAGACTCTCACGGTCACGCAAGAAATCTTACGGCAAATCAATATTATTCCATTATAAACCTAAAATTAGCTACATCAAACGCGTTGTGGTACTTTGCAAGCCCTACAGACTATTTACAAGGAAATAAAACTGTTACATGTATGTAAATGGCGGCCAGCTGACCGAAGTTGGCAACTCTGCACCCAAGCGGTTAATTTACAGCAGCCCAGGATATTACTCAAGATTTTCATGCAAAACAGTATTTATTACGCCTGTTTTAATTAAGGAAGGGATTTGTATACATTAGAAACGTTCTGATTAACTGACTTGCAAACTTGCAGAAAATTTAAAAATGCTAGATAGATAGATAGATAGATAGATAGATAGATAGATAGATAGATAGATAGATAGATAGAGATTAACCAGACTGAAACATCCCAAAATGACAGCCCGTTAGTGCCCCCCCCCCCCAAACCACAATTTCACCTGCAACAGGACAGACAGTCCATCAAACATCTGGAGTATATCTGTACATCTTGGTCAGTCATTTGCCCCAAGTATGTGATCTGAATTCAGAGACATTTATGTGGCCATAATTGGCAGTACAGTTCTGACATTCAGGAAGTTGTACGCCCTTCGCTGTCGCAAGAGGAGGACAAATTTGATCAGAAAATAAGCTGAAACGTGCCGGCAGAGTCATCATAAATCATCCTGGCAGCTGCTTGTCCGCTCTTTGATGAATGGCTCTTTGGCACTTTGGGTTCCCGTGGATCGCTCTAGCCCTCCATTGGCTTGGGCTGGCCACCGCTCAGGAGCCTGGCCCCCATTGCAGGAAGCCTGACTTTGGGCCTTTCTCCCTCTCCGAGCTGCGGCAGTCTTGATAAAGGTCCTGACCTTGAGTTGAACCACCAAGGCTAATATTGAAGTGCTGTTTCCAGGAGCCTGTAGCCAAGCTGTGCTGCGCACGCCCTTTGACCCCCGGCGCATCGCTCATCGCGGCTGTCTTAGCCGTGCCGTGGACACATCGGCTTCTCCTTCAGCACGACTCACCAAAGCAGACAAACAATCAATACTCTGCACAGAAATGAGCCATAAGTCTAGCCAGTCAACGCTAACTGTCACTCAGGGACTTCAGAGAGTTGACTATTTGTCCTTTTCTACCGAATTTATTCTTTGTGTTTATTGAGCTGGATATTTTCTGCTAGAAATGCAAAACAAAGTTGATTTTGTGTTTATGTAATGATGGAGTCCTGTGTTTTTTTCCTACATCAAAACATACATATTACATTCAGTGGGCACTTTTATACAAAGCAATACACAAGTGAGAAAGCAGGGTCTGCAGGTCCGAGAAGCCATTGGGGGTTAGGGGTTTTGCTCAGGGACCCAATGGTGAAATCCCACTACCAACCATCAGGTCTGAAGCAGCAACCTTCAGATTAGAGACACTATGTCTGAACCTGCCAAGCCATACAGGAGCCTGATGAGCAGCTTGCGATCGTGCACAAAATTCTGTATCCGGTCCATCCTCCACTAACTGGGGAAGGGGGCCATTGGCATTTCCTAGAGAGCCAGACTGTAGGCAGTGCTGCTGCAGTACATCGTCAAAATGCCATCTGCACCCAGATCATCTCATTTTTTTAGTAGAACCTGATGCACTTGAAAAAGAAATTAACAACTTATATGGTGCTGCCATCTTCCAGCCTTGGAATATCGAGGGCATGCAAGCGAGCGTGAAAAACAGCTGAGCCCTGGTCACTGTATCTGCCAAAAACTCTCATCTGGGAAACACTACCAGCCCTCAGAACCAGGACAACTCAGTGCTTGACACCCTTCTTCCTTACGGCTGTGAAATGACTGGAGCAGCCCTCACAGTGCCTAACCATCCTGTCTACACATGTGTTGTGCTATATGTTGTTGACCAGTGTCTGACTAATCATGATTTTATTATGTCACTGACCAATAGATGCATTAATATATGCAGTATGTTTCTCCAGACACACTTGAACCTCTGCCTTGTACATACCTGGGGGGCAGTGTGTGATTGGCTGAAACCCCAGGATCGGCAGAGTGACGTCACCGTTGGGCCCCTGAGTGAGGCCCTTAACCCCCACAGGAACCGTCTGACCCTGATTGCTTGTTACTTTGGATAAAAGTGTTTGATTCTGGCTGGTATCTCACACTGCAGTGTAAGCGCTGTCCTGCTGGGGACTCTGAAAGTCCTGCCGTATCAGTCATCCTCACCCCTCTTCTCTGACAATGCCATGCCATGCAAGAATCCACTGCAGGTTCCTCTTTAAAACTGCACAGTTACACTGCTGACTGACTTCTCAATGACATCTGACACTCCAGTGAAAGAATTTGAAAAATATTTACTCAGCTTTCGACTTAAGCCATTCATTTTGTTTGCCTTATGTAGAAGAGGAACGGCTCTTAATGGTATAAATGGTTGAAATGCGCCACCTTGTGGGCAGAAGCTTCAGTGAGGAGGCACAGCGAATATTGGCGAGTGAAAGGTGGTCTGGCTGCTTGCCACGTTCCTACTGAACGGCGCTACTATGCAGAGCGAAAGCACGCGCTGAGTACCGCCAGAGCTGGCTGCGGGCTGAACAGGATGTGAGCACATTTCCTGCTGCGAGAGGAAGCAGGCAGCATACCGCCCCCTTTAGAGGAATCTCCACAATGCCAGGAGATGACTGTACCAAATATCCACTGCTGCAAAAATGGATGTAAATTCCAACCATTGTCTTTGTGGTTATGTAATGTGACAATCAATACTGGCGATTGTTAACAATGAATGACTTCCTGGGAAGAGATTGGAGTGGGTCACCACCCTCTCTGAAAGCAGATTCCATACATTTCATAACACAGAATAATATTAACAAAAATGTGCAGGGGTTAGTACTGTTGCCTTGCACCTCTGGGACATGGGTTTGAGTCTCTGCCTGGGTTCCATTTGTGTGGAGTTTGCATGTTCTCCCCATGTTGTCATGTGGTTTCCTCTGGTTTGTCCCCCCCCCCTCCCCCACTGTCAAGAACTATGCTGAAGCTAATTGGAGTTAGCCCATAGGTGTGAGTGTGCCCTGTGATGGGTTGGTGTCCCATCCTGGGTTGTTCCCTTCCTTGTGCCCTGTGATGGGTAACAAAAACGTACAAACAAAAAATAAGTGTTTAAGTTGTATTGTGGTATGTATAAGAAGAAATATAAAATCCACAAATAAAGGCTTTTCATTAGTAATTCTTTCACACTGACACATGTACTGACCAGGCTGCAGAGGCCTGAAGGCTTAACATTACCCAAATAGCCGGATGGGGACAATGCTGCACTGTTATGAACCTTTTTCAATATGTGCCAGCTGGCCCCAGCTCAAAGCTGATTGGCCCCGGGAGTGGCCCCTCCCCTGTCACTCACCACTTCAAAACATATCATTGGCCAATGATAAATTTGGCCCCCTGTAAGAGTAATGGTCCCTCCTATGCAGGATCCAGCCGGCTTGCAGAGGCGCACTGTAAATATTGTGATCCCAGAGAACAGCCAAGGTCACGGCCATGGCTGAATGCTTATCCAGTGCTACTGTTCCAGGAAGCACGGGTGGGGGTGGGTTGGGGGCAGAACACACACACACACTCCACACAAAGGCCTTTTCCTATCGTCACCCCCTTTACTCACTCACTCACTCTCTATCTATCTATCTATCTATCTATCTATCTAATCTAATCTATCTATCTATCTAATCACACCCTTTATTCCATCCCATTCTGCTTCTGATTGTAGGCAGAAAGTCTAATGTTAAAATTGTAAAATGTCACGTTTACATATTTGTACATTGTCTTGCGTGTTGCATGACATACCGGGTCACACCCACCATGTACTCTTGTGTTTAACATACTTGGCCAATAATGGAATAATGCTCTTTCTGATTCCGATGGCAGCAGTTCTATCCAGAGAAATATTGTGGGGGGGGTTATGACTCTATAATTGAGTATATAAGCTAACAATTTCTGGCATGTCCAGTCTGCATGAGCCTGCCCCAGAGCTCACACCCATCCCTAACCTTCCTTGTGATTGCGTTCACCCTCCCTGTTCATGGCTGTGTGCCAGGTCCTGTCACAGTCCCACAAGGACATTGCTGGGACCCACTGACCACTTCAACAGCCTGTTTGTTACATGGTAGCGGCTGCAAACACGCCTGACAGAAACGCTACTCAGAATATTGAAACCCAGAAAAGATACTGAAACCAAAACCACAACTGTGTGGTTTGTATGACAGCATTGGACCTGATGTACATCCCAGCTCCTACTGTCCTCCTCTAATCGACAACTAGTGATGACTGCTAATGTCTGACTGTGATTGGTTAGAAAGTAGGACTTTTAATGCAAATGTCATACTGCCCCATGTGCCAAAGCTGAGGAGCAGTAGATAGGGAAGCCCCTCCAATCCCCAGCACACACAAACTCCAAACTCAAGCAGCGATAAGCTTTGTCCTGCAGAAAATAAGCTTGAGTACCAGTTGAACCTGTGCCACTGTGGAAATTCCCACAACAGCATTTTAAAGATCTGTCAGGCAAGGCTGAAGGTCTCCATCTACGCGGGAATCCTACCCATTCCCTGTCTCATTCCGAGATGCCCTTCATTGTTTGGTGCTTAAGTAAAGCACTTTCAGCTTCCAAGGTGGACTTGCAGGGTAGACCTCATGCTGAATATAGATGTTTACCTGCCATAAATCAGAAAAAAAAAACATGGAAAAGGTAAAATAGTATAATTTTAATAGTACAGGACACATAAAATAATGCCACGGAATTCATTTATATGATACATGATGATCGTTTCCTGGTTCGCAGGACAGAAAGCATGATGCAAGAAACACAAAAGATAAACTACTGGATCATATAATGATGTGGTGAAGTGTTGGGAAAAAGGTCCAGAAGTTAAAATTATTTTCAGCAGGAATATAATTTTACCCCCTCAAACGATTTGTGGGAGGGAGGCAACAGGTGGTCTTGAATTTTCTCAACGTTGGCCATGTACCTGCCTGGAAAACTAATTTTAATTCAGAGAAGATGTGGCAGGAAAAAAAAAAAAAAACCCATAAAATTAAAAAAACAATTAGAACAACATATTTACAGCTATCATGATTAGAAATAAATGCAATATTGAACATAACCAAAAAGACATATACATTTTATTTTTAAGCGCTTGTTTGTCTACAAATTCTCTCGTATTTTTATTAACAGTGAATACAAAATACATTTTGCATAACAGAATATGCCAGCAACTGGGGCTAAATACATACGCAACACATTCAAAGTTTTCAATAAAAAGTCCAGCAGGATCCAAGACCATGTAGCAGGAAGTGAAACAGCCACATCACAAGCTTCAGTTTTCAGTTTATAAACTTAATCCAGCAAAAGAAATCCTTGCTCATTCATGTGACATTGTTTACTAAACTTTTATTCTACATTAATTAATGCAATTTGAAAAGGTCCCTTGAAAATCGTAAGAAAGGTCAATGTTAACAAATGGAAGAGAGGGAATTACAAACAGCTGTCTTCATTGGCTCATTTACAGGAAGGAGTCATCAGTGGGCGGGGCATAGGAGAAGCCCAGGAAGGTGTCATCTGCATCCAGAACGCTGGCGTTGACAATGGGGTAACGCACCGAATTTGTGACGCTCTCCTCCGTAAATTCTAGGTCAAAGTTCGTAGTATCATACCCTGAACTCTGCAAGTGAAAAAAAAATTATTAGGACAGAACTGGCTATAAGACTTGTACAATAAGAAAAACAGGTGGGAAAAAAACATTTTGACCTATTTCCAGTGGTAGGAATGTGAGTGGATGCTGGCACTTACCACAGTAGGTCTGAAAGGTGGTTCAATCAGCTTCTTCTCGAGAGCGTCCCAGTCAATAGAGGAAAAGAAGCTTTGTGATTTGATCTCATTCTGAAGATGTACGAAACAAAAGAATAATCACACACACAAACTCTGATTGTTCATACTGATGGTGTGCCACAAGAAGGACAATACAGACAAAAGACAATGATTGATGGATGGATGGATTATGGCTGCTAGTTACTGTATGTGTGGTTTACCTACCCTGAGTATGGATTATGCAAGCACTGAGAAGCTGTACTGAAAACCAGTTTATACTGGCATAGTGGCTGTAATGGGAACAAGTTTGTGCTGGGCTAGCAGCTATAATGGGAACCAGGTTGTGCTGGGCTAGCAGCTATAATGGGAACCAGGTCGTGCTGGGCTAGCAGCTATAATGGTTTGTGTTGGCCTGGTGGCTGTAATGGCAACAAGTTTGTGCTGGGCTGGCGGCTATAATGGGAACCAGTTCGTGCTGGGCTGGCGGCTATAATGGGAACCAGTTCGTGCTGGGCTGGCGGCTATAATGGGAACCAGTTCATGCTGGTCTGGTGGCTGTAATGGGAACAAGTTTGTGCTGGGCTGGCGGCTATAATGGGAACCAGTTCGTGCTGGACTAGCAGCTATAATGGGAACCAGTTCGTGCTGGGCTAGCAGCTATAATGGGAACCAGTTCGTGCTGGGCTAGCAGCTGTAATGGGAACCAGTTCATGCTGGGCTAGCAGCTGTAATGGGAACAAGTTTGTGCTGGGCTAGCAGCTATAATGGGAACCAGTTCGTGTTGGCCTGGTGGCCGCAATGGGAACCAGTACATGCTGGCCTGGTGGCTGTAATGGCACCCAGTGGCTGAGACTCACAAAGTCCCCGCGGGAGCCCAGCCGCAGTGTGCGCTCCTTCTGCAGCAGGCCATGCAGGAAGGCCTCAGCCTGGCCGGACGCCCCCGGCTTCATCCGCAGCGCTCGGTGCAGGATGTTGTCATACATCTCATGCGTGTCCCTGCTGTAAAAGGGGG